ATTTAAGATGGCCATCCAGATGCTAAGCAAGGACCTTACAAAGACAGATTCTTTAAAGAAGCCTCTGGCCTTGGGCCAGAGCTTCACAATTTCAAAGAGAAGATGTTACTAATTGGGCTCCATGGGAACAGTTGGTTTTGGAGTGGGGTTCTCCCCTTGTGCTATCCTTGACGGGTTAACTTGCCCAAAACAGTGAAAGAAGGAGCTGTTTTTGAGTGAACTTCTGCAGATTGTGAAATTCTGAGCCCCTCCCCCTACACACTGGGTATAAAGTTCTGAAACTACCTGAACTTCGCAGTTCAGGGGGACTAATTGTTTGCAGTGAAAGCTGTTCCCTCTAAACCTGGTTGCTACCACAAATAAACAATAAATATGCTTCCTGCTACCTTTGGTGTCTTGCCTCGTCTGTTCCTACAACATCATGTTCAAACATGATGTATGGTGCCCTAATCCCTGCTAACCCCCAGATTGACCTCCAAGAGCCAGGTTTATATGTTCGTGGGCATTTACTACAATCATAAACTCAGTAGGGATTTTACTAAACTTCATTAATTCCTCCCAGCCATCCAATTAGGCAAGGATTGTTGTCTTCAAATGAGAAACATATTTAGAGTCTCACCTAGCTGCTTCAAAAATCAGTGATCTACCTAGGGCTGAGTGCTTCTGAAGGGACTGCCACTATTGCACCCAACCGTGTATCTTCCACCTCTTACAGAAGGCTAGGCAATCTAGGTTTCAGTTGCCACACAAACAGAAGGGCCAAATGCCCGATACAAACAGCAGTCCAGCAGCAGAGCAGCAGCTGAACATTTGGCATGTTTGAGTTGGAAGGACACCTCCATTCTTTTTCCTCCTCAGCACATAGCCACATACAGGTCCCTTCACTGAGTTGGCTCTCAATCAAGAAAGTCAATAGAAGCACAGTAGCTGGGCGCGATGGCCCTTGCCAGTCATCCCAGCTACTCAAGTGGCTGAGGCAGGAAAGGAATCTCAGCTTTAAGGACCAGCAACAAACAAATCATTGTGAGCAGAACTACAGCACACAGACAGGGTATGTTCGTGTCTTTCCACAATGTCAGAATTTATCAAATAACAATAAATTCACAAGCTGCGCCAACTTCATCAGCTTCAATTCACCAAGTACTCACAGGTCACTTGGTATCATGACTGTGGCAATCACAGGTTCTTTTATTCCCTTCCAATCTTAATTCACACATCAAGTCACACAGCAGACTTTACATGATTATTCATAAAGCCCAGAATGCCTAAGAAAAGGTTAACCCGGCACTTAGAGCTGTTCAAGGTAAGGATCTGGAGGGAGGCCGTTTTGAAGAGGATTGCTTCAAGCAGGAAGATAAAGCTAAGCTGAAGGCCTAGGGACAGTTGGAAGTTTGTCACCTATTGATCTCAAGTTGCATTCACCAAGTAGTCTTGGTAACAAAATGGGCTGGTGTGAACTGCCAATTCTACGTTCTTTTATGTACTTCAGTGAGGCATCAATCAGAGGTCCAGTGAGTTTGATATGCTGACAGGCTGAGTTTCTCTGTCATAGGTTTGATATGGCCGTGCAACCACATATCCCTGATTTAATTTGATAAATGCACAGGTGATAGTTTTTTGTTAGCATACTTAATTTACTTATAATCAGCTTTAAGCTTTCTGATTGTGCTGTGGAGCTGGGGTTTTTCTTTTAAGTAGGTTCTGTATGACTAATATCTGGTGGTTATCTGCTTGCTCAGGTAAGTTACCAAGTCATTCTGCCTTAGCACTTGAACTCAAGATGGAATAGCTTGGGACAAACTGGTGCTTTATAAAATGGAGTAACTCAGGTCTAGGCTCAGAGCAGGGCACAGCTGGCTACCCACACAAACCAACTTCTCAGTTCAGCATACCAGCAGGGTGTCCTGCAGCTCAACACAATCCTGACACTGTCTATCTTGAAATAGGACCAGCTCCCACAAATTAAATCTCAGATCTCATAACCTTTTTTTATTTGTGGTGCTGGGGATCAAACCCAGGGCCTTGTGCATGTAAGTCAAGCACTCTACCAACTGAGCTATATCCCCAGCCCACTCATAACCTCTTAATATACACACAGTAGCTGCTAGGGACATTCAGTTTGCTTTTTCTTTGTGGTACTGGGAATTGAACTCAGGAGCATGTAATACAGCCACATCCCCAACCCTTTTAAAAATTTAAAAAAGCATTTTTGAAACAAGGTCTTACTAAGTTGTTTAGGGTCTTTTTAAGTTGCTAAGGCTGACCTCGAACTTCTAAACCTCTTGCCTCAGCCTCCAGAGGCACTGGGATTATAGATGGATGCCACCTGGGGTATTTTCTATGTCCTGAATAATTGGAATAAACCATGACTTTCAAAGGCATTCTCAAGTGCATAATGTTGGGTATCCTTCATCAAACCATCATCCAGAATGCTTCAAACCCCACCCCCTGCACCCTTTGGCCTGTTTATCATCTCTAGTTTTCCCTCTCAGGGTATCATGTGAAGAGTGGGTCATGCAGTGAATAGCTTCTCCAAACTGGCTTACCTCACTCAGCAATATGCAAGCAGGACTTATCCGTGTCTTTGCAAGGTTGATAGTCCATTCCTTGACCTGAATTACTCCATTTTATAAAGCACCACTCAGATTTTCTTACAAGGATGATGGTTTTACAACTTGGGCTGAATTGGATTTGGGTACATGTGGCCACTATAATAAAGCTTCAAGGTCAGCCTCAGCAACTTAACGAGGCCTAAGCAACCTAGTAAGACCCTGTATCCAAAACAAATAAACTAATTAATTAATTAAAAAGGGCTAGGGATGTGCTCCTGAGTTCAATCCCCCGGACCAAAAAGAAAATGTCCCTAGTAGCTACTGTGTGCATATTAGTATTAAAGGCCACAGCATGTATTAGTGGCCACTGTGTGCACAATAAGTTAATATTAGAGGACACTGGGGAAATAATGTCTTAGTAATGAGAGTTTATCATATGGGGCTGGGGGTACGGCTCAGCGCTTTGCATCTCTACACCATTCGAGGCTGCAGTGAGTCAGGAAAGGTACTTCACGCCCTCTGGTGGCCACAAGGCCTCAGCACAGGCTGCTGGTAGTTCAACGGCGCACACGCGCCCCCTCCTGGCGTTCCTGCAAAAGGAACAAATTCTTTTTTTTTTTTTTTTTTTTTTCAGTACTAGCAGGCATATTTATGGGAATGAATGCCTATATAAAAAATTTTAAAAAATAAAAAAATCATGATTAATCATAATACTACAAAATATTACAAAAACAAGAACAAACAAAACCCAAAATCTATGGAAGAAAAAAATCAGTAAAGATCAGAAAAGCAATAAATGAATTAGAGACTAAAAGAATAATAGACAGCATCAATGAAACAGTTGGTTTGCTGAAATGATAATATTGACAAACCCTTAGTTAAACTGACAAAAAAGATGGCCAAAATAAACAAAATTAGACCCCCTAAAAACAAATCTTAACAACAGGTACAGTGAAATTCAACAGGTACAGTGAAATTCCTGCAAATGGAACAAATTCTTTCCCTACTGTATTTAGATTATTCAGTGCCATAATTTTGGAAATTCAAAGTGAAATGAAACTCACTCCCATTCCTTTTTCAAAAAGTGATGATGGAACAAGTATTTGGAATGAAGTAATGTAGACACAAACTTCAAAGTTTACACTAATTTATTAAAAATATTTACTATTTACTAAAAATATTCTTTAAACAAATTAGAGGAAAAAACAACTTTTAAAACTCTAGAAGGAAAAGAAAAAGAAAATCTATGAGACCTTGGACTTGATGAATTTTAACATACAACAACAAAAGCCAATTTGCAAAAGAAAAAGTACCGATAACTTGGACTTGGTAAATTTAAATGCTCTACTCTGTGAAAGATTGTTTAGAGAAGAAAGACATGTCACAGAGGAGAATAAATTATCTACAAAACATGGATCGGAAAAAGAATTCGTATTTGAAACACACAAACCTTTTTTTTCTTTATATACAAAAAACTTAAAAATGAGCTGAAAACAGGTATTCAAACAAACAAACAAAAAAGTATGCATTCTTTTCATCTGTCATGGTCTTTAAAATGAGGGACAGGCTCAGGAAGAGTTCCAAAAAATAAATCTGGATCCAAATAGAAAAAGAATTTCTCCCAGAAGCGGCAGGTGGTGAAAGTGAAGCGAGCCTGTGGATTGGATTGTCATGGAGAAACCATGCTGATTTCCTGACTTGGAGGTTATGTGTTGATTAGTTGTGAGAGTTTTTCTTTGGGCAAAATACAAGCACCGTTTTAGGTAAAACTGCAAATCTCTGAACAGACACCTGAGCAAAGGAAAATACAAAGTCGGTGGTCAACATCATATATCATTATGATCTCAGTGGCTTGAGAGGCTGGGGCAGGAGGATCAAGAGTTCAAAGCCAGCCCAGCAACTTATTGAGGGCCTAAGCAACTCAGTGAGACCAGATCTCTAAATAAAATAGGGCTGGGGATGTGGTTCAATGGTTAAATACCCCTTAGTTCAATCCCCGGTATCCAAAATAATAATCATCATCACATTTTGGCAATTTCCCAATGATACATGATGTTGAGCATCTTCTTGCATGGTTATTGGCCCAGCTACTAGAACTGGCCTGTTCTGGTATGATTAATGGCACCTATTAGAACTGGTAAACTCTTTAAAAAACAACAACAACAACAACAACAACAAAAAACCCAGCAGTTCCAATTGTCAGAAGACAGAGGGAGTAAGCACTATCAATCATTGCTGGTAGAATGCACAAGAGCACAGTCACTTTGGAACACAGTGTGTCAGTTTTTTTCAAAGCAAAAACAAGTCTAACCTTATGACTCAATAATGACACCCCTAAATGGTCTATATTTAGACAACTGCTTTAAAAAACTTGTGTCTAAATATAAACCAGCGTGTAATTATGTACCACAGCTCTATTCCTACTGTTCAGAACTTGAAGTAATCAGAATGTCCTTCAGCAGCTGAATGCACAACCAAATCAGAGTACATCCATATAGTGCAGTATATTCAGCAATATCCAGTGGAGAGGAATGAACTGTCAACCTTGCAAAGACATAAATAAGTCCTGCTTGCATACTGCTGAGTGAGGTAAGGCAGTTTGAAGAAGCTATTCACTGCATGACCCACTCTTCACATGATACGCCGGAAGAAGGAAAACTACAGAGATGATAAACAGGCCAGTGGGTTCAGGGGGCAGGGTTGAAGCATTCTGGATGATGGTTTGATGAAGGATACCCAACATTATGCATTTGAGAATGCCTTTGGAAATCATGGTCTATTTTAATTATTCAGGATATAGAAAATACCCCAGGAGTCTGGCTTGGTGGTGTATACCTGTAATCCCAGGGGTTCAGGAGGCTGAGGCAGGAGGACCATAAATTCAAGGCCAGACTTGGGCAACTTAGTGAGACTCTGTTGCAAAAAAAAAAAAAAAAAAATTTTAAAGGGGCTGGGGCTGTAGCTCAGTGGTAGAGCGCCCGCCTCGCAAGTGTGAGGCACTGGGTTCAATCCTAACACCACATAAAAATAAATAAAGCTATTGTGTCCATCTACAACTACAAAAAAAAATTCTTTTTAAAAAGGGGTTTGAGATGTAGCTCAGGGGTAAGGAGCCCCTGGGTTTGATCCCCTGAAATCCCCCCACACCCCTCCTCAAAAAAAAAAATGAACCAATGAAACATATCTTTCCTGTAGGTAATGGCTTATTATCTCAAATCAGGTTTCTCTGTTATAAGTTGTACTTCTAACAAGTGCCAAACACTAATAGGCAATAATTATAAATTTTTCCAAGAAAAATACAAAACAAAATTAACAAGAGCCAAAAGCATATTCAGTTTGTATAAACAGTTCTGAACCAAGAAGCGTAATTTTTATAATAACACTAATAAACATTTGATATCTACTTAGCCTCTGTAGAAACTCAAAATATGTCAACCCCATCACACATAAAATCTTTTACAAGTTCTATTTATTTTAGGAACCCTTTCATAACCTTGAAATACCTTTTATAATTTACCCAAACTCTTATTTAGCTTTGCACTATATCTTTCTCTATTTTGGGATCACAGTAATCTTTATGGGAAAAATTCTTTTGAACAGAACTCTTAAATGGGCTTAATTTCAACCTGTTTTGGAGGGCTGTCCTAACATGGCGCAAGCAACAGGCAGAGCATTATCCCGGGTGAGGCTGGCCTTTTGACAGATCTTAGCTGCAATTTTTACATTTGAAGCTAATCCAGGCCTCTTTCTAAACATCACTCCATTTAGGAATATAAGATAACAAAGGCTGAGCACAGTGGCGCAAGTCTGTAATATCAACAGCTCAGGAGGCTGAGGCAGGAGGATCGTGAGTTCAAAGCCAGTCTCAGGAACTTAGTGAGGCCCTAAACGCAACTCAGCAAGACCCTGTCTCTAAATAAAATATTTAAAAGGGCTGGAGTTGTGGCTGAGTGGTTGAGTGCCCCTAGGTTCAATCCCCAGTACCAAAAAAAAAAAAATAAATGAATAAAACAAAGGTTTTATACATTGTCTCCTGAGTCCATTTGAAGACTAGCACAATAACATCACACCTGAAACATGAATCAAACAGAAAGACTAAGAGATCTTAATTTTCTTTATGTAAAAAGTAGATAAGCCTTTTTTTTGTTTCACCTTTAAGCTTTAAATCAATCAGGCTTTCCCTATTTTCTTTTCCAAAAATACATTGAAATTCCTACCCCAACATCAAGAATAACACAATTCTTCATATATAACTGACCAATAACAGGTGACTTTTAGCCAATTGTAAAATATTAAATCAAATAAATAAATCCCCATTTAATTTTGTCTTTTAAGAAAAAATAAAATGGTTTTAAAATAAAGTCAAATATACTTGTTTATAAATATATCCCCCAGGTGGCCGATGTCCAATCTTTATAATTATCCAAGTGGCATTGTTTGGGGTACCAAGTGTTTAGGCATATCTAACTATCTTTGCTCAAAGACAACAATCATGATAATTAGGAGCACACAACACAAAATGAAAAAGGCTGTCCCTTGCCAGTACGTGAGTTTGGAGGACACCAGCCTTGCAAAGTGTTCTCCTAAGTTTTGCATCTTCGGAGGTTCATACGCTTGGGTAACATAAATAAGTTTAACAGAAAGAGACCTATACTGATTAGCATCACAGCTTCACAGAAGTCATGTTTGTGTATGCACGTGTGTGTGCGAGCGTGCGTGTGGTGTGTGTGTGTGTGTGTGTGTGTAATCTAAGCCCAAGAGTGAGGATGCTAGATTCTATTGAGCTATCAGTTTAGAAGGCCAGCCCTCTCCTGAATTCAGCCCAAGTTGCGAAATACTTTTCCGTGACTCAGCCGTGAGGTGACTGAGGCCCCTCCTGCTTTGGGAAGGAAGAAGAGATGTGCTGGAGACTGGGGGGGTAGCTTAGGCCCTGGGCTCCATCCTCAGAACAGAGAGACAGAGACAGAGAAAATCAATGAGAGGAGAGAGGCTTGTCTCTCCCTGGAGTGCATGGCTCAGTCCAGGCAGGTTGGGAGCACTGGTGGTGGGAAGACTTGCCCTAGGTTGACTGAGGGGAGCTGCCTGGAGCCCACCTGTCCCCCACACTCCTGAAAACTGACATGGGCCACTCCAAGGAAGACTGAGGGGGCTAAGAATAGGGCACTGGCTTTTATCCAGGTTAAATGTAGGCTCAACCATTTACTGTCTGGGTGACCTTGGGCAGGTCCTTCCTCTCTGTGCCTCAGTTCCCCCAGCTATAAGGGAAGCAGTAATCGTACCCACCCCACTGGGTTCTCTGGGGAGTAAATGAAATAGCACATGTAAATAGATTAGCAGCTCCCTGGCCAGGAGTTAGGGTATCAGTGGTAGCTGTTGTAAGCAAAAATAACCAAACCAGTTTCAGCACCATAATGAAAAGCACAAATACCCGTGGTGGGAGCAGACTTCATGGATCAGCTATGTCTTTTATTCAGCAGTGGAGTCAGGCATCGGAGGGGCTCACTTTCTGGGTAGAAAATGGCCCTCCGATTACAGGAGGGGTAATAGGTTTATGTAGGTTGCATTGGGAGGTGACTTAGTCCTTGAAGACTTTAACAGGATGTGCTCAAAAAGTTGCAAACATCTGGAACTTGTTTTTACTTGGCATAGTTTTTATTAGGCAGTGTTTTTACAGGGCATGGATGGAAGGTTCAGAGTTCAGGGTTCAGTGCTCATGTTGACCTCCAGGGGTCATTGTATTTTCCGGGGGACAAGATTAATGTGTAGTTTCATTGTTACTGGGAGAGAATTTACTTGGGAAAGGATCCCTCTTCCCAGGGACTTCTATTTTCTGATTGATGGTTATCTCCTTTCCAGGGTTTGTTTTGTCACTGGGAAATGATTTATTGGAAGGATCAAAGTTTTGGGCTCTCTCTTCCTCGCTCTTCCCGGGTCATACACTGTCTTGGCCGGGGCCCAGGGAGGGGGTGGGGTACAATTTCTATATCCTTCATCTGTGGCCCCTCGGACCATCACCTGCCATTATAACTCCCTTTCATTTAGTAATTGTAGACACCATTGGCACTTATTGATCATGCCTACACAAAAGGCACTGTCCAACCACTTATGTGCATGAGCTAATTTAATCATCCCAGGAAGGTGGCTCTACATGAGCCCCATTTTGCACATGAGTAAAAGAGGCACAAAGAAGTTCAGTAACTTACCAAAGCATGGCACAGCCCAAGTAAAATGACTTTTAGTCATCTGTGCAGGAAAATATGACGATCTGTAAAGCAAAAGAAACATGAAATCCAGTCTGTCTGTATTTTTGGACTTTGACAAAGACAATTCTGCAAGAAAAGTGAAGGGAGTGAAATAACTCAAAGCTAGCCTTGGGATCCCTGGGCCACCCCTCTGAATTAAGACATGGGGCTGTGGCTGGAGCCCCAGGGGAAAATGCAGGCGTATCACCTGAATCCATACGTCAGCGTTCCAGCCACACACACCCAGGAATTCTGAGAGATAACCCTGAACAGTACATGAGAGGAAATAATGGTTTCTTGAACTCAGTAAGATGAATTTGCCGCGTGTCTGCAATCTCAGAGTCAGGCCTGGTTGAGTCTCTGGTGTTTCCCTCCATGAATGGGTATCTTCCAGCCAGAGGAAGATGTAGAATGACATGTAGAAATGCTCAAAGAGATTCAGCTGCAGCACAAATTTTTCATATTTAAAGATGGAATCTGAGCCAGGTGTGGTGCGCACGCCTTTAAACCCAGTGGCTCAGGAGGCTGAGGCAGGAGGATCTCGAATTCAAAGCCAGACTCAGCAACTTGGCGAGGCCCTAAGCAACTCAATGAGACTCTGTCTCTAATATATATATATGGCTGGGGATATGGCTCAATGGTTAAGCACCAATGGGGTCAATCCCCAGTACCAAAAAAAAAAAAAAGATGGAATCTGCGCATGTGTGGTATTTTATGAACTTGTAACAGCTGAGAGATTTCTGGCCTGCTAAATGGACAATGTTGCAACTCCAAGATAAAATGTGCAACTAGGCGGATCAATTGATTAGATTTGTGACTAAGTTGAAATCTTGCGAAGTGTATGTACCATTTGGGACACATCCTTTAAAGACTTTGGACTAGCCGTGTTTTATGAGATTATTAAACTTAGAAGCATTTTTAAAAAGTGGCTTTTTGTTGTTGTTGTTACTGGATGAGACAATTGAAGAATTTCAAAAAGGAAGTAAGGTAAAGCATATTTAATTTGTAAAAGAAGTTTGTTTAGAATATGTGTAAATCAGCTCCAAACCCCTTAAAAGTAACCATTTAAATTTCTGGATTTAGGGTTGCCAGATTTAGCAAATGAAAATACAGAATAGTAGAGAGATTTGAATTTTAGATCATTTAAATTTAATTGAGCAATGTGTATTTTATATGGAAATCCTAGCTGGAAGGATAAAAAGTGTCTGAACTTTTGTAAGCTGAATTTTAATATGTGGTACTTTGTAAGAGTCCTGGAAAAACTTTCAGTGTAGAATGACATGCAGAATTGTAATTTCATTGTTACTGGGAGAGAACCCAGCTCAGCATGGTGGCACATACCTGTCA